ACTAGCCATGATATGAGCAAATAACATTATGGCTTTGGAAAATTTTGTCACTGACTTCAATCATAGTTAAGGTGTATCCCTGAGCTTAGTAATTGTGATAAGCAAGAATTGGCTATAAATCTAATGAGACAGGCCCAGTAAAGGATTTCTTCATGGTTACCTGCTTTCTATTAGTAAGAATAATATGTTGATTTTATTTTTAGACAAGATTTCTTCTTTATACAATTCAAATGGCTGCAAAACTAAGAACCACCTTGTAAGATTCTGGTATTCTGAAAACATAGTATTCTGAAGGTATTGGTACTACTACCAAGAAGATTTTGCACAGAATATTGAGATTTTTGTATGCTTCTATAGGTGTGAAAAGGCTGCAGAATTGGGTATATGTTAAATGCACCATTTGTTCAGTACAATTTTGTATTGATTTTTAATGTTGAGTACAGTCTGCTATGATTCAGATGCTAAAGCAAATTATTAATATGCTTTTATATAAGAGAATATTAAACCCAGTAAGAAATATGTACAATTTAATATGCAACGAAAAGCAAGCAAACCCAACATTTTCTGTGTGAATAGGACAGGCTTTCAAGAAATAAAAATGAAACAGTTACCAGATTTTTCAGGAGTTCACATCCTAATCCTCCTGCTCCAATAACTAGAACTTTACACGTGTTTAACAGAAAGTCAAGGGGCTGTAAAGAACCAAGACAAACAGTTTGTTGAAAACAAAGAAAAATAGATTTCTTATTAAGACAGAGGTGCAAACTCACTGCACAATACTGCAATATTTTAAAAGGTCAAAAGCAAAATAATTTAGTGTAAATTGGTGTTTACCTTGTGGCAGCACTGATCTTTATTTGATTAGTAAAGATTAAATCTGCATTGCCAAGTAATAATCTGAATGCTGTGGGTTTTTTTAAAAAATAAATCAAATGTATATAGAAGGACATTAATGTGGTCAACACAAAACAACGTATATTCAAAATTTAACATACATTACTGCTAGTTTGACTTCTTAATTTACTATTTTATTCAGTGAGAATCAGACTATAATCTGTGTACTGCATATCTGTTGGCCTGTCACATCTACAGAACACAGGGATTGACATCCTGACACCCTCCTAAACCTTTTGAATACAATTCCCAAATTGAACACAATTCCAGCTGATTTGAACAATGGTCAAAAATTCTTTAATCCAAACCATCTGGAGGGCCCTAGGATGCCGACTCCTGAATCATGTAGATGTGTAGCTATCTATTCAATATAAAGACCCACTGAGTAAAAGACTTATAACTAGGTACACATGCATACACTTGGACTGCATCTTTTGTCAAGCCTTGGGCTATATATGTTTATATATATTATATATTAAGTATTAATATGTAATTTTATATATTAGGTATTAAGTATAACACAAATCTAAGACAAATAAGAATCTTTCTAGTTCTTACACGGTTTCGTACACTAATTTGCAACATAGCTAATTAACGTTAATTCCCTTTTTCTTAACATGAAAAATTCTAGAAGCTCTCTAAAACCTTCAGCATCCACAACTACTCTTTATGCATGCTTCATTATGCAAAACAGTCATAAAGAAAAATTATTTGGTTAATTCCAGAAATTTGTAGTCTTGCTCATTAATGTATGCAGACAGACAGAAGTGTTCACAACAGTTTGCAACACAATACTACAAACATTTGTATTTAAAATAATCATTTCTCACTTGAGTGCCTGGCTCGAAATCAGGGTGTGTGAATGGTCCAGATCGCTCGAGGAACTTCTTTACATGGTTCCAGCGACCTTCCCAGTCTCCATTGTCCCCACACCCACCATCAACAGCCATTCTGCACAGAACACAGAAATTCAGCTGCAAAAAACCAGTACAAAAAAACAACAACACAAGCACACACTAGAACAGTAGTGTCTCTATAAACCCAAAATTTTCCTTTTGTGCTGTTCGGAGAATTTCTCACACAGTACAAACCAGAATCAGCAATTTTATTGATTAATTTTATTTTACTTACAGGAAATATGTGAAATATTTGGGGCTGCATTACCAACTAGACATTAACATTACAATAATTTCACACAAAGATTGTATTCTCCATTTTAAAAATTCATTATAAGCAATAAATTATTACGATAATCTTAGAATGTAAAAGATATAGTAGCTGCCCTCAAGCAATGCCATCCTGAAGATTTGTGTTTGTGTTCCTTGGACAAACAATCCAAGGAATTATTTTCAAAAGAGTAAGTGAAAAGCAGGCAGCTATTTTTGGCTTAATATATAGAATATGAAGTAGATGGAGCGTGGGGCAGAAAAAGGCAAAAGAAATAGTTCACTAACTTGGTTTTGATAAGATGATTGAAAGTAGAAAATGCATAGAAAACTAATATTTCTTCAGAGAACCGCAAAGGAAACAACATTAGAATTCAATATAATTTGCTTGGCAATTCATTTTAGATGCAAGAATGCCCTTTTTAAAAATCTAAAAGAACAGTTACATGCAAGGCATTTACTTCTTTCATGTCAGAGTTTTATCAGTTGAGATATATTAACACATTAGCTAGCAAACATCTAATCTGTATTTGATATAAGCTGTGAATTCTTGCACTGCCAGGGAGTGGACTTAATTGCCTTTATGGTCCCTACAAAATGTACAATGTCATGATTTTATGCTAAGTGTATAACACACCCCATGTGATTTTGTACCCAATGTGGCATTTACCTTCAAATTACGTAGATTCTCCAGTCTCCTTAAGGGAAGCAATTTCAGCCACTGAATGCAGGAACACTGAACCCCTGTAGCCCTCCAGATGTTGATGGACTGCAACTCCCAGCAGCAGTTGACAATACCATTAAGAGGGATGATGTGAAAGGCAGACCATCATCATCAGGAAGGGCTCATACTCTCCATTCCTGATTTTAAAGTTTCGAAGAGTTTATCAAAGAACCCCCTCCTTTAGATTTATTCTGCAAAATATTACTATAGTTATGATTTCACTGCTCTCTTAAACGCTGGTTCCTTATGTGTTTCTTTTAATTGTGCTTTATTGCAGTTAACTTTCTGAAAGTTGCCCTAGGAGCCTGTTGGAAGGGGTTGGCTAATGATAAAAATAAATCACGTAATCTGATTTATTACCAAGGCAGATCACACATCTGACAAAATATTTTGCCTGGATTCCGCCCACACCCCCCCCTCAGTTTTGCACTGGCCCAATTCTAGCAACAAGCCAAGGAACAAAAAGTTCTGGATCCACAGTAACCCTACAAAATTGGTTTAACATTTTGTATTACATATTTTAAATTGTGTTTACTTGCTTGGTTCTAAATGCGAAATGGTTTAATATATTCCTAGTCTTTTAATATTTGTTATTTTAATTAATAAATATTAAAAGGCATTATGGTAGGTTAATTTTTGAAAACTCTTGATAGAACAGGGTATGTTCATTTCTCGTGTGAAGAAAACCTGAGTTTCTTCTTTAAATGGTGTGCTGGATGGTATAGTCCCAGCTCAAAAATGCTGTAATGCATACTTCAAAGAAACACGCAGCCTGGGAACACAACATGGAGTTACGGACTTAAGCTTCACAAGTTATTCTGCTCTTTTTTGTGTGGATGTTTTTATTAAGTGCCTTCAAGCCAACTCCAACTTATAGTGGCCCTATCCTAGGGTTTCCTTGGTGATATCTGTTCAGATGGGATTTGACTTCCCATAGCAGAGACTGTGACTTGACCAAGTCAACAGATGGGTTCCCATGGTTGAGTGGGGATTTGAACTCTGGTCTCCAGAGTCTTAGGGGGGTTGCAGACTGTCAAAACAGTGTGAATTCAGTCCACTTTTAGGGTTAGGGTTAAGGTTAGGGAATCATGGGAACTGAATTTTATTGTGGCACTAGAGTTCTCTGACAAAGAAGGTTCAATGTCTCAGAAAAATAACAATTCCCATGATTCCCTAGCACTAACCCTAACCCTAAAAGTGGACTGAATTCACACTATTTTTGACAGTCTGCAAACCCCCCCTTAATCCCATACTTAAACCACGACACTGCCTCTTCCAAAATGGGTTTTTCTACCCTACACACTACAATTTTTAAAACATCTTTGGGGCCTTTCCCTTAAAATGTCTACAGAGAAATAATTTAACATTCTACTATCAAGTCAAGAGGTGGCAAGATTCTTGGCAAAATTTAAAAACCTGTTTTTTGGATATGTTCAAAACTTTCCATGACTCATGTCACTGTTAAGAGCATTTGTTGTATTCCTCTGTTTGTCGTTGACATTGATCAAGTACTTCTCCCATATCCTTGTGTATGTGTATGTGCCTTCAAGTCATCAGTCAACTTATGGCAAGCTCATGAATTTCACAGGGTTTTCTTAGGCAAGGAATACTTAGTGGTTTTGCCAGTTCCTTCCTCTGAAATACACCCTATAGTGCCTGGTATTCATTGGCAGTTTCCCATCCAAGTACTAACCAGGACTGACCCTGCTTAGCTTTCAGAGCATTTGGACCCTAACTAAAGCTAAAGCAGCAATGACCCTCCTAGCTTCCAAGATCAGAAAGGATCTGGTGCCTTGCTGTTGTTAATTGTTCTCAAGTTGATCTCATGGTGACCCTGTGGATGAGACATCGCCAAGACTTTGTCCTCTCTACCACCTTTTACTTTTCCTAGCGTCATTGTCTTTTTTAAGGAGTCTTTTCTTTTCATGATGTGGCCAAGGTATGACAGCCTCAATTTAATCATCTTGGCTTCCAGAGAGAGTTTAGGCTTGATCTGTTGTTCAAGGGCCCATTTGTTTTGTCTCTTTGGCCATCCATGGTATCCTCAGCACACTTCTCCAGCACCACATCTTACTTGATCCCAAAAGCAGAGCTCACTCTACCGATGAGCCTAGACCCAACTATTCGTTCGAACTAGTGCAGTCCTGCTATATCAAAGAGGACATTTATTTAAAGTTCTACTGTTTCAATAATCTTATTTTAACTGGAAATAGAGAGCCAGTGTGGCCTAGTGGTTTGAGCTTTGGACTATGACTCTGGAGACAAGGTTCGATTCCCAATTTGGCCATGAAACCCACTGGGTGACCTTGGACAAGTCACACTCTCTCAGCCTCAGGAGAAGGCAATGGCACACCTCCTCTGAACAAATCTTGCCAGGAAAATCCCATGATAAGGGTTGCCATAAGTTGGAAATGACTTTTGCCCCCTTTTTTTGTCAGAGTCTCCATGAGGCTGCAGGCCTATACTTTGCTTACCCTGCAATAGACAGATAACCATTTCTGGAAAACCCCATGATAGGTTTGCCTTAGGGTTGTCATAAGTCAGAAACGACTTGAAGGAACATTAAAATCATCGTCCTTATTAAATTATTGCAATGTACATAATAACAAATGGAAATAACATAGGATTTGGGCCACTTTTTCCCCCTACCTTACCCCCCC